CGCGGTGGGTTATTATCCTAAAATTTCAGCCTCCTAGACTCCGTCGTTCCCGAGATATTAACTTACCCGTAAAAAACTTTCGCAGGGTCGTACCCGTTACCCGCGGGTGCGGGGAAGCTGAATTTAAATTTGCGAGGTCACACGCGGGTGGGGAACGTTACCCTAAATTTTCAGCTTCCTAGCTTTCGTGGTTCCCGAGTTGAAAGTTGCGGACAGTCACACGTGGGTGGGGAACATTACCCTAAATTTTCAGCTTCCTAGCTTTTGTGGTTCTCGAGTTGAAAGTTGCGGACACCCCTTAAATTTTCAGCTTCCTAGCTTTTGTGGTTCCCGAGTTGAAAGTTGCGGACAAGTTGCTGCGTTAAATTTTCAGCTTCATAGCTTTTGTGGTTCCCGAGTTGAAAGTTGCGGACAAGTTGCTGCGGGAAACGTTACCCTAAATTTCCAGCTTCCTAGCTTTTGTGGTTCCCGAGTTGAAAGTTGCGGACAAGTTGCTGCGGACATAAATACACACAAACACACACACAGACAAACCCGTAACAATATGCGTTTTGTAATGCTGCTACACAGCACAAAACACATAAAAAAACGATTTCCTCGACATAAAAAAAAAAAAAAAACATGAGAAAACAGCTACTAACTTTGCATTTCAAATTCGATGTATTCCATTAAAATTGACAATTTTTCATCCAAATCCACTGCATCAGCGAGGCGATCTTCGAACGCTGTAATATCAGCCATTCGTTTCGCAGAATTTTCGAATGCTGCCCGTAACATGTCAGATTCCTTCCCTTCTGCAAAAAAAAAAATTCTAACAAATCAAAATTTGCAAAAATCTCCTCATTGGGTAAAGAAAAAAGTCAAAACAAATAAAAGGCAAAACGAGGAAGTAAAATAAAATTCGTAAAAATAAAATAAAATAAAATTTGCTTCTACTGAAACGAATTTTATTTTACTTTTTACTTTTTCTTTGATTTCTACCCAGGATTTTCTCAAAAGCCATACCATTTCTACATCTTCTCTGGCAAAAAACCAAAAAAAAAATTAAAGACTATAAACCATACGAGCAAAAGTTTTGTATTCGTTCCAGGATTCCTCAAGGCCAATATGTGGTATACGGAGTAGACGCCTGTAAATCGATTCCACCAGTTGGCGCTGATTTTCATTATTCCCATCACCTGCCGAATTCAGGATCATCTTTTCGAAATCCAAATAAACATTCCATATCAATGAGGCACAGTCGGCTCGTAGGCCAATTTTTGTTACCGCTTCTTCCATTTCCTATAAAAAAAAACCGTCCAACAACAGTACTAATCCATTAAAAAACAACAAATGCATTAAAATGATAATAGCATCGGTCATCCGGATAAACATATAATGCTAAGTGAACCATTCGGAACAGATACACAATACTGCTCCAGTAATTCCAACAAAAAATATATGCTGTCAGCTGATCCACTCACAGCAGTACTATTTCGGTCTGCTTGCAAAGATCGGTCAATGTTTACAGCTAAGGGATGAAACACAGACAGACTGCATCGTAAAATGTCTTCTTACACATGACATT